AGGACACTTGAAGAAGTAAGAGAACAACTATCCAAGCAATCAAACACAAGAGAAGAGTTTTTCATTCTTATTTCATCTTTCTCTTGTAAATATTTTGTTCTTGAGAGCTCAATCTTGTAAACACCTACCTTAGAGAGGTTTTCTTGTTTACTTATTCTATCCTTTTGTAAAGGGGAAAGGTTCTAGCTTAGCCCGTGTAAAAGCTAGGGTAAGGTTCTAGTTTAACCCGTGAAAAACTAGGGAGTTGTAAGGTTATCTCTTTGTCCTCAAAAGAAAGAACAAATTAGTGAATTTGTTGGAAAATCCTTAGTGAGGAGCTAAGGTAGTGGATGTAGACTTTGGTTGAGAAAGTCGAACCACTATAAATCGTTGTGCAATTATTTATCTTTCAATCTCCTTACTCCATAAACAAAAACCGTTCCGACCCCTCTTTACAAATCGTTTCGGTTGTCGATTCGAGCGTATGAAAATCCCAACAATTGGTATCAGAGCCTAACTCGTTAAGAAGGTTTAACCACCTTGAGACGGTCCTAGAAGATGCTCTACCAATTCCTGACACAACCGAGAAGATGACTTCCACCTCCGGCTCGTTCCACATGGAAGACTCCCTACTAACGGACAAGCCTCCATACTTCAATGGAGTCAAATATAGTCATTGGAAGAAATTAATGAAGGTATTCATCCAATCCAATGATCTTGATGCATGGGAGATAATCGAGAACGGCTACTCTTCTCCAAAGAAGAAGGAGAAGAAGAAGAGTGACAAAGAACGGAAGAAAGCTCAACTTAATGCCAAGGCCATGCACATGTTGTTTTGTGCATTTGGTCATGAAAATCTATGAAGGGGTTTCTTCATGTTCAAGTGCCAAGGAGCTTTGGAATAAGCTTGAGGAAATCCATTGAAACAAGAAAGAAGAACCAACAAAGGTGGTGTCTCTAATGGCTTGTGAAGAGCCCGATGTATCTTCTAACTCAAATGAATTTAATTCATATACGTTTGATGAGTTACAAGATGCTTTTAATAGGTTATATTCGGAGTTTGAGACCATGAACTCCAAATATAAGAAAATGATTTCAAAATTTAAAATCGAAAACGATTTTCTTTTGAAAACAAAAATAGATTTTGAAAGCCAAAACGAAATTTTGAAAAAGGATTTAGAGCTTTCAAAAATAAAAACTGAAAGTTTTGAAAAAGAACATCTTGATTTAAAAGTTAAGCTTGAATACTTAACAAAAGAAAAAGAAATCATTTTAAATTTCATTTAGTTCAATTTAGTTCACATAATTACAATATGCTTACATTGTCATCATAAGGAATAAGGAACATACTTGTCCTTTGAAGAAAGGAAATCGTTTTAAAATTAGACAAGTATGGGTTCCGAAAGGAACAAGGGGCATTGAACCTAACGTCCAAGGATCCAAAGCAATTTGGATACCACAATCAAAATAAATGTCTCTTGTAGGTGTGTGGGAGCAATGGTGATGAAAATGATGATATTCAAGATGCTCTAGCCACACATGAAAAAGGAATGGGTAACCTCTAAACTTAATGCTTTTAATTTTGGTTATTTGGTTGCTCATTTGATTTTAAGCATGCATGAGCTTTGGTTTTAAATGATTATGCATCATTGTTTTAATCTCATGTATGTTGAAAAGATTATTATGATGAACATTTTAAAGTATATTAATTTTTGAGAATTTTTAGTTCATCATAATGAATTTTGGTCAAAATTGGTTTTAAATGCAAATGATATCTCTCTAACAATTGATATCAAATTTCAAAATACTTTGATTTTATAAATTTTAATTTTTTGGCCTAAATTTGAATGTTTATGCATGTGGTATAAATGAAAATGATGTCTCTCTAGCAATTGATATCAAAATTTTCAAAATGCATAACATTTTTGGAAAACTTTATGCAAATGCACTTAATTTTAACAATTGGTATTAATATCAAATTTTAACAATTGGTATTGCATAAAGTATTTTAGACTTGGATATATTGAATTTCACGTGCCTCTAACATGTTTGTTATTCTTTGTAGAAATTCAATATTTTGTTTAAGTGTCATAAACTTAAAAGCTAAATTTTGTTTGGAATGCATTTATTGAGGGGGAGCTTTGATTTTTCAAATGATTTTTAAATGTCAAATTTACTACTTACTCTCCAAAGTTATTTTGAACTTCAAAGATTGAATTATTTTTTATATAACAAAAAGGGGGAGAAGTTTGGTTTGAAAAATTCAATTTCTTAATGAAAAAGGGGGAGCATAACATTTTCATATATTTTCCAACAATTGGTAACAATTGATGTCTTTTTCATTAAATAATTTATTAAGGGGGAGTTTTGCCAAAAATAATTTTTCAAATGTTTTGTTATATCAAAAAGGGGGAGATTGTTGAACTATGTTTTGATATAACAATTTAAGGCAAAATGTTTTTGGACTTGAATTGAATTTGCAAAATGTTTTTTGGATTTGAATTGAATTTATTCAAAGTTTTCAAAAGGTTTTTTAAAAATAATTCAAAGTCCATTAAATTCGGATTTGAGCAAAAATGCTAAAGGGTGTCAAAGTGCATCCATGCATCCCTGCAGTGCATCCATGCATCCCTGCAGTGCATCCATGCATCTGCACTAATGCATCGATGCATCAGGCAATGCATCCATGCATCCAAACATCGAATGCAATTAGTGCATCGATGCATCCTTGCCATGCATCGATGCATCCTTGCCATGCATCGATGCATCCTGTCATGCATCCATGCATCAAGGCTGCAACGGCTAGTAACGGCTAGTTTATTTGAATTTAATGATAAATGGGTACATTAAAAGAGTAAATATATTATTGTATTATTTTCAATTTCTATAGTTTTTATTAAATTTAATTTCATAAAATTTATATATTTTTTACAAAATTTTAAAGATAAATGGGTACATTAAAAGAGTAAATATATCATATATTCTTTTAATCATAATTAATATTTTAAAAGTGATGATAATACTTAAATAAATAAAAAGTATAACATGTTTGGATAGTAAAATAAGGAAAAATATAGATGTGGTTTGGGAAAATAAATTTTAACAAATTTGTGAAAAAAGACTATAGATTTTGAAATAAAAGTAAGGGTATTTTTGAAATAAATCTTTTGTTTGAAGGGTATTTTAGTCCAAGTTGAAGGGAAAACAAATACCTAAGCAAATAATGAGATTAACATTCCCGGTAAAAAGCCATAAATTTTAACTGTTGGGAATAAGTTTATTACTCTCCTATTGGGAATCTTTTCCATCCAAACGTGGGTATTACAATTTGGAAAAAAAAATTCTACCAGTAATCCTCAATTTCATGATCCAAACAACCCCTAAAGGCAAACCACCCTTTCCCATTAGGGATGGGCATGGATTTGGATCCGAAGGGTTCCAACTCTATCTGGTCAGAATTTTTTTTAAAATCAGGTTCATGTTGAGTCGGATTTTTTTAGAGGTTGGGTTGGGTTCGGATTTAGTGTAAAAAAATACTCAATTCAACTCGACCCGAGAAAAATATATAATTTTATCTTTATATTAGGGATAATTTCAATAATGTTCCTCTATATATTATTTTTTTCAATTGAATCCTCATTTTTATTAAATAAAAATAATATTTTTTAAATAAATATATTAATTCAGGTCGGGTTAGGTCAGTCGAGTTCGGGTTTTATCTCAAAAAGATCAGGTTGAGTTTAGGTCGGATGGAGGGTATATATTTTTTCGGGTTGAATTCGAGTTGATCGAAAATTCGACCCGACCCATACCCATCCCTACTTCCCACTGTTGATAAATATAACACGGTCATTTTAAAATTTAACTTTTTAATTAGTATATTATTTTATTGATTATATTTATTTTAAACAAAAATTTTATGAATTTAATATATATAGATATTCGTAAAAATATTTCTAGATTTACCGTAAGCATAATATGTTGACGAGGAATAAAACACAAACGCCTTATCATTTGGGCACAAAGTGCCAACTTTCTTCTCTCGAATGTGGCTACTCACTTTTATTACCAAATCAACATGCTTTCATTGCCTCCAACATCACAAAGTTTAAACAGCCTCTTTATCAAATCTTCTGTACGGACAATAAAAATACCTTGAAGAATCCGACACTAAAATCTTTAAAATAGGACTATTTCTTTTTCCCTTTAAACTCGAGTATTCTATAGTTAGATTAGTAAATTAAGGCATTCATAAGGTATGGTAATGTCGATGGTGAAATCATTTATATACTGTGTTTGAGATCCATCAATTCAAATGTTAAATTTGCAAGGTTGAGATCTAGTAAAGGTGATATTTTTGTCTAAAGGTAGGTCCCAACCCAATGGGTCACTTTTACCATCTTCAACCACTCTCAAAAGTCTACAAGTCGTAACAAAAATATAGCCGCACATAAATGAATGATAATGATGATATCAGAGACATTAAATTCATGTACCTATCAAATAATTTCAGTTATTAAACATATATTATTTTTAAAATTTTTTAAATTTTAATAATTATATTTATAAAATATGTGTCGTAAAATAAATTTTTTAAATAAATATTAATTTATAATTACAGTAGACTATTAAAAAATATTAATAATTGAATTCTGTTTTATAATCATAACTCTTTTTCGGTACGGCCGGCCTCCATGGAGGAGGCAAGTTGATCATTTCATCTCCACCTTAGCCCTACTCCTCCCACCTCCCCAACTTTGAATTTTCTTTAAAAAATCGTACCATGTGGCCTACTTTCCTACTTTTTCCTTGCTTATACATTTTCCGGGAAAAATTCCATTAACCAGACAAAAGTATAATAATACCATTCCCAAAATGTAAAAAGTAGACCCAAAGCAAAATAATAATAACAAAAATATTACATGTTCTATTACTCCAAATTTTCTTCATGTTAACACCAAATGATATTAAAGCAATATTGAAATTTCAGAGATAACAATAAGCCAGGAGAACAGTACATTCAACTTGTTATTGCAAAACCTGATTCCTTGGCTACCTTCTTCCAATATTTTCATTGTCTATAATATATATAATATTTCTGGTTCAATGGCATTACTTGTTAGCAATTACCCAGTTGAGAAAAAAAGTGTGCCGGACGATGATGAAGATGCCGTTCCATTGTAAGGTCTTTGCTTGAAACAATCCAATGACATTCGCGGTGGCGATACTGCCACCGTTACTGAAGAAGAAGACTGAATCCCAGAATCCGGCGGTGACCCTGCAGTAATCAACAAGCGAATTACAAAAAAAGAAAAAAAACAGATTTTGAAACTAAACAATTGTTTTCCTGGTTTATGAAGTGACTTACTTGGGGGATTATCAGATGAGGGATGCAGACCGTTTTCAAGGGGGAGGTGCTTCTGGTTTTCTTGACTGCTATTGGGTTGCTGTTGAGATTTTCGCCTCCGTCGATTGTGATCGGCCAATCTCTTCCGACAGCTACGCTTCCCATTGTCGAATTCCGACAGTAGATGGAATCTGTCGAAACGTATTCAGAAACCTAACGTTAGAGAGCTAGAGAACATCATTCTCAAACGATAATGCCCTAGGGATTTCCACAAGTACGAGAGAACTAATCATTGGACTAATAACATTATTCCCGGAGCATTTTCGTCAGCTTGTGCTTCAGCCATATTCGCATGAAAATAAGAGAAGAAGATTGCAATAACGTATTGAAAATATGAATGCGTGTGGAGGTTTTTTCAGTAATCTAACACTAATTCAGTTAATACCATCAGCAAACGGTACGTGAAACGGAAGGGAAATGGAGCTGTCACGGACAGAAATACCCTCGGGATCACCCCATGTAAAGAGTGGGCAATCATTGGCCGTCACAGACAGCTACAGGGGTGAGTCCGTCATTTCGAACATGTATCACTATCCTCAACCCTCCCTTTCAGAGAGCTTATGCAATAAGCACACACTAATATGATTTATTACTGCCAAAATAAGAAATGATTTTTTTTCTTCTTTTTATTTTAAAATTCTTCAACCTGCTGCACTGCTGGCAGAATCGTTGAGTCAAGCTAGCGGCGATGACGGTGGAAGCTTTGGAATGGAACTCGCAGACTTTATGGCGGCGATGGTAGTGCTTAGCGTGGGTAAGATCAGCGTTGCAACCCTCGGCTTGACACCTGGGGGAATTGGTTGGGCTGAGATATCCGGGTCTGGGCCGGCGATAAAGCCGATTCACAAAGTCATCCTCAGCGGAGGAGAAGTAAGTACGGCCACCCAAGTTGAGACCAATCCTCGCCGTGAAATCAACAGGTCTAGGAACTTCCTCCGTCTTCGGAACAAGAAAGTAACCGCCCCCATCTCCTCCAACGTAGGGAACAGGGTCCAGTGAGAGCAAGGAAGCGTGGACCGTGGAGTACGCCGACGCCCCAGAGTAGGAGTGCTGGTCATATAAAGAATGAAAATTGGAGTGTGGTTGGGGTTGAGCTTGATTATGGCCATGGAAATGGTTTTGGTGAGAAAAGGTGGTGTTGTTCTGATGGGAAAGGATAGTTTCGTTGAAAGGTTGGTGGTGGGTGGTGGTGGCGGTCGCATAGTGATGAAAAATCTGACGATTCGGGTCGAGTTCTTGGGTTGTCTCTTCGCCGGATAATAGTATCGATGACGGGTTTCCCCATCCGTATTCCAACATGTTCCGGCGAAGCTACGGTGTCGTTTTTGTTGTCGGTATGATTGCTTGCAACTGATGATCTGTCAACAACAAATTAAAAATAAAAAAGGAAAAGAAAAGAAAAATAAACCAGATAGAGAGAGAAGGAAAGAGAGAGTAAATGTGTCAGCTTTCACAAGTGATAGATAACTTAGGGTTGAGGCTTTAATGGCTATGTTTCTAAGAGAGAATGAACAGTAGCATAACTTTTCGAAACCCTAGCTGAACTCGGTATTCGCAGTGAGTTCAACTCGTTAATTCTGCATTCTTTTGCTTTTGGCAGCTCTCTCACTCTAGAGAGAGAGACTATATGTTGTGGAATTGTAATCTTTAAAGCTCACACATTTTTGACAGTCTTTAGCTTTAGATTCTTTATACAGCCTTGAAAAACAACTCTTCTCTTTCTTCTTCCTTTCTCTCTCTGTGTACGAGTCTCCTTTTTGCAGTGCAGATGTGATTGGTTAGTTTGGGAGAGGAAATTACAGTATAACCCACTTTGATGGCTACGTGTTTGTGAGGCCACAATGACACAATAGTTCTATCCCTTGTAAAATATGGGCGTGGCTTTATCATTTCTTCTCACCGTCTTTGGCCCAACTAAGTAGGATTTGCTTTCAACCATGTTTAGAAAATCCCTATCAAGAAATCTAAATCTTTCGGGCACAATCTCCCCGATTAAATATTATCTAAAAATAAGACTTCTGATGGACTCATGTGATCCATCAAAATCTAACACCTAAATCCGTCTATTTCATTAATTTATAAATAATTATAATGACTCTGCACATTAAAGATTGCTATGAATACTCTAGTTAAAACTGATATAAGGGATTGAAGTCCTCGTGATTTCTATATTATATTCTCCACCCTCAATAATCAACTCTATCATCTGAATATTCTCTCATCAATCGTAATTTTCTTATAAATTACGTAAAAAAATTGAACCGCCAACCATAGACAAAAACAAGTTTGGTTCTATCAACACTAGGCTAATCACCATAACCTTACGGCTGTGGACGTGATTGGTGCTTTTTTCTCCCCTCTCTTTGCAGTGCAAGGCTAACGCCACGCGGTGCTCTTAAAAACTCCGGTCCCACTTCACCTTCCTCTTGTCTGTCTGATTCATTCATTACCCAGAATGGGATTGGGAAAAACACAACTCTCAGTAATCAAAATTCGCACGAGAAGTAGTGTTTGTTTGCTGATGAAGTGGTAATTACGAGGCAATAACCGTGTGAACTGTACAACACTGAAACTTACAGCTTTGGAGGTAATTGGGGTGGATTTGTGGTGGTAGTACGGACCTCTGTCTAATCAATGGGGGGGGGTTTGAATCAATGTTTCATCATTTGAAGAAGGGATCATTCCTTGTTAGAGAAAGGTTTCCGCATTTTAGACCATGATTAAACAATAATGGCAGACTGACTAATGCAATTTTTACATGATAAAAATAAATGGACGAGTATAAAATATAACGTAACTGTAAGGTTAGAATAAAAAAGTAAAAATTAATTGTAATAAAAAAATTTATTCAGAGTATAAGCTTTTAGAGTAAGCTAAGTAATATTTTAGATTAAAACTAAAAATATTACGTCCTCTCTTAATAAATTATGTAAATTACAAAACTATTTCGATTGTAACTTAAAAGATTACAGTTATTTTTTTTATGATAGCCGAAATAATTATCAATTATAATTTTTTAAATTAAAAAAAATAACATTCTAAATAAAAACTCCCACAAATTAACCTTATATTAAAAAAGTGTCATACAGCAAAGTTAGTGAAAAAGAGAAATGATTAGGGGTAGGGTCCTTTATTAAAGCGGTAACATTCATTTTGGCGTTTAGAGGAGGAGATGAATAAGAAGGAAAGGAGAAAATGGGTAATAAGCAAGGAGTTTGTTTTATATGGAAAGGCGGCCCCCAATTTCCTACAAGCCTATTCAGACGCGTAATGGGACTACACTTGCATTAAACTTCGTAGGAGAGAGGGAGGGGGGGCTAAACTTGTTTGTTGAATTCAAAATATATATTTTATGTTGTTTACTCATTTTCAATCAAATAATTTTTGGCATAATTTTTATTTAAAAGATTAAATAATGTGTTTGTTGAACAAGATTAAATGTTTGTTGAAAATATATTTCCATTACAAAAATTAAATATTTGTATTTGTTTAATTTTGTGCCCTTTTATAATGTAAGTTAAATTAAACCCATGACATGAAAATTGTTTTTTAATTTAAATAATACTATTTTTGTTAATAATTTTACATTAATGTTTTATTATTAGATCGTTTATTTTTTAACTACAAACATTTTATATATATTATTTTTTACTCTTCTGAGTATGCCGAGTTACCTCTATTCAGGTCAAAGGTGCAGAGATGCTTCCGCCTCATTTTGATTATAGAGATTATATCATGATTTTACTATCGGTCTAACAGAGTTGAGATGCCTCCGCTAAGGTTGTAGTAACTATCTTTGGCCTTTGCAAAGCGTCGATATGTTACTACTGTCCAAACATCCCACCAAAAGGTTAAAAATCCCCTGCACAATAAATATATAGGTATAAAAACAATTTCACCTAGTATGACATTTGCGTATCTAATCAAAGACCAGGATAAATCAAATGTCCAGACTATGGACCTTGGTAAATAAAAGCATTGAGAACCATTCGTGTGGCACAAATATAAGCACAGTGATAACTTCATACAACCTAAAAATATACCGTTTAACTTTTGCAAAAATTAAGATAAAGATACAATTAAAACTTTGAATTTAAACGAACTTAATCGACAAGATCCTCCGCAACATATTTAAGCATATATATACCTTTGTTCATTTGTTATTATCCCCAAATTGCATCGAGAATCCTCTGATGGATGTATAGGCATTAAAAAACTGTGTCCAATTTAAGAATTAGGGGTCTTTCGCAACACGTTTAAGCGTTGAGGTTAGGGTTGCACAGAATTCGGATTTCAATCCGATCCGGATCGGTTTTTATCCGATCCGGTTTTTTCCCATAGAAAAAAAACCGGTTTATAAAATAACCGGTTCGGTTTCTAACCGGTTTGGAGGGCCTGATATCCTAACCGGTGTAACCGGTTTCGGTTTTAAAAAAACCAGTTTTTTTAAAAATCCGGTTATAAAAAAACCGATTTTAATATTATTAAAATTACATCGTCATCAATTGCAACAAAGTTTACGATAATTGAAATATTTAAATACTTCCAAGTTCGATAAATTAAAATACTTAAAAACTTCCAAGTTCGATAAATTCAAATACTTAAAAACTTCAAGTTCGATAATTGAAACAAAGTTTACGATAATTAAAATAAAGTTTAAAAATAAACTACATTGCCATCTCTTCTTCATCATCTTCGCCTTCTTCGTTTGGAGGGGATATTTCAAGTTCGACTTCTTCAATGTGTAAGTTTGCTTCCAAATCGGCATCAATTGCGTCTTCTAGGGTGGTAATATGTTGCTTACGAGCCGCTCCATCCAAATAATCCTTCAAACAAATGCATACTTCCACCGACTCGGGACTTAGTCTTGATCTCCGTTGCGATATAACCCTACCACTAACAGAAAAAGCGGATTCCGAAGCTACCGTAGAAGCTTGGACGGTTAGTAAATCACGGGCCATGGCGGCTAGAATCGGAAATTGTGCTTCTTTTTCTTTCCACCAAACCAAAATATCCAAACTTTCAAACTCTTCAAATGTCATTTTTGATAGAAAATCGCATGACATGTAATTTCCCAACTCGCTACTTGGGGTGGTAGTACGTGATCGTTTAGATTGGAAATTTACAAGAGTGTTAAAAAGATTCAAATTTATGTTACTTGGACGTCTACTAGATGATTCCGCATTCATTCTCATTTGATCGTGTATTACACTACTTGATCCGTATTTAGTTAAATAAATTGCAAACATGTCTCGAAAACATTTGTTAAAATAATTTATTTGGTTTTGGACAAAGTTGGGTTCATCATCGGTTAGATTAAAAGCAAACGCAATTTGTTCAATTAGTGTTTCAACCCCACCAACATTTAACGTTGGGTTTAAAGCGGCGGCACAAGTAAAAATGGGGGAATCTCCTTAAAATATTTTAAAAGTTTTTTCTTCATTGCAAAGCCAATTTCTTGAAAAACTTCGGTTTCAAATTCAAAGTCATTTAGTCGGGTAGCCAACAAAAATATTTGATTAAGAACCAACGGGCTAGTAGGGTAATAAACACCGGATAAAAAAGTTGTTGCATTTTTAAAAACCTCAAGCAAATCGGTTATTTTGGCTATAGTTTCCCAACTCGAATCCGGATAAATGTTTGAGACATGACCCCTCTCGAAAAGCCGATCCTGAAATGTTTGCAATGTTTCTCTTTGCCTTAAGGCAGTATGCATCATCATCCAAGTTGAGTTCCAACGAATTGGACAATCCAAGTTAGGACCCAAAGCTTTTTTATTAACGGACTTACAAAATCGTTTATAATCATTTAGTCTTTTGTTGTTGTTACAAAGAACCGATTTTATCATTGTTTTAAATTCTAATCTAATCAGCTCAATAACCTCCAAACCGGCTTGCACGGATAAATTAATTATGTGTGCAACGCAACGGGTATGAAAAAACGCACCGTCTAAAATCGGTGAAAGTAATATTTTCAATCTTGGAACCGCGTTTGTATTATTCGATGCATTATCAAAGGATATAGAACAAACTTTATTTTCTAATTTATAAAGACAAATTACCCTTTTTAAAAGTGTAAATAAATTAGCACCGGTATGCGGCTCACCGAATAATTCAAACGCGATTGTTCTTTTCATCATTTGCCAATTATCTTGATCTAACCAATGTGACGTAACGGCTAAAAAAGAATTTCCGGTATTATGAGGGGAACTCCAAACGTCACATGTAAGCGACACACCATAACTGTGTTCTTGGAATCCTAAAATCATTTTTTCCCTCGCCGTACGCCACATTTTTATAGCATCTCTTCTAAGGGTAGTACGACTTACTTGAGTATAACGTGGTTGCATTAG